CGCAGGACTGCCGGTAAGAAACGGTAGCACAGACGGACTGAAGTCAGGTTAGCAGGTTAAAGTCTGGATCCTTCATCAGGTTTAAGTTCAGGATTTGATCTTCGTAAGAGTTTGAATCTCTTGGATCCACTTTAGAAAAACACTTCTTCATCACTGTGCTGAGTTTTGTTCTTGATCTCTGTGACAGCGGTGGTTTGTTTTATCGCTTTTATAATCCTAATGTGATGATGGAATCTCAGCTGTCCCTTCAGCCCCGCCTCCCCCAATAAAATCATTTGCCATACGTCCAGGGCGTAGAGAAGAATGGATAAACGGTTTCTCTCCGACTCACGCTGAAAACTGTAATTGTATGAAAAATAGAAAATGATTTATTTAGTGTGAATGCTATAGTTTATACTTTGAAAAATGAATAAATACCTAAATAAAACAACATTGTAGACTAAAAATGTAAAACCAACACAGGTTTGGCCAATGGGCGCAGGTCGTATTGAACTTTTGACCTTACTTCTCTCCACTTCCTCCTGTTAGCCAATCGTATGTACCGTTAGCAAACTCAATGTGAATGTTGCTCCTAAATCTTCTCCTTTAATAACACGTGATGTGTTTAAATCCTCTCCTTTAATAACACGTGATGTGTTTAAATCCTCTCCTTTAATAACACGTGATGTGTTTAAATCCTCAGGGACCTCCAGGACAAGATGGACGGCCCGGTGAGAGTGGAATCAACGGAAACATGGTGAGATTATTTCACCTTCATGTTCTCACTCATATCAGGTCTGTACTTCAGATCAGGTCAAGGTTCAATTCTGATTTTTTTATATGCTTCTGCTTACTTCAACATCTTGCTTAGTTACCGTCACTAAGCAGTAATTAGGAGGTAATTGAGAGCACCTCTTAGGGATCTATTAGCTCCAGAATGTGGTCATGTAGAATAAGGTGAGTGCTTGATAATGAGTAATTAGCAGCCAGTATACTACTTCTTAGCATTAGCATTGTCAGTGTTTGTTGAGGTTATTTCAGTGGATTTATTCCAGACAGTGTGAGGCTGCAGAGACGCTGCAGAGACGCTGCAGAGACGCTGCAGAGACGCTGCAGAGCGAGGAGGAGGCTGTGGCTTCTGACACACGATGCCTCGTTCACTGTCAGCACTGAGCAGACTCTGCTGTTGGAGTGTCATGAGTAAACTCCTCTGAGTCATGGACGACACATTCAATCTGTGCTTTGGTTTTTTTCTGCTCAGGGTCCAAATGGAAGGAGAGGCTCGCCCGGTCAGAAGGTAGGAGGGGAGAGATAGTCAGAGCATGATCAGAGCTGTGACAGACCGGTTTATATACTGAACTGTGTGTGTGTGTGTGTGTGTGTGTGTGTGTGTGTGTGTGTGTGTGTGTGTGGTGTGTGTGTGTGTTGTGTGTGTGTGTGTGTGTGTGTGTGTGTGTGTGTGTCCTGCAGGGTGCACCTGGAAAGCCAGGAGAAGCAGGCAGCCAAGGCAGCCCCGGAGCTTCAGGTCCACAGGTGAGTGATGGAGTCTGGACGCCGTCAGCAGAGAGATGACATCACATGGTCATTCATACCCTCACAAATCTTTCCTCCACGTCGTCTCTGCAGGGTCCCAGAGGAGTCCGAGGACCACCCGGACCCATAGGCCTGTCCGGCCTGCCTGGACCTCAGGTCAGTACTTCACCTCAATGTTACTCATCCTCCAGATTGAAACACAACTTCAGCTGAAGCATCGTTTCACGGGTCATACTTTTTTTCATTTATTTTATTTTTAGTATTTTCAATTTTATTTATTTATCTTTTTTTAATTCTTATCGGTGTGCATTAGTCTCTCAATGATTTTATAAACTACTTTTTCGTCAATAACTTTTCTGCACTTTGAACTGCAATTTAATTTGTCTGAAAGGTGTTGTACAAATAAAGTTTTGATTGATTGATTTACGATCATTGATTGGTGGAAAAGCAGCAGCTGCCAGTCTCACTGCTGTCACTCTGATTGTCGGACGCGGATTGCAGCGCAGGTTATCTCTCAGGAACTAGTGTGGTGAAATGGTTTTAAAACCAACGGTACACCGGGGCAAAAGTCAATATTTAGAGGAAACAGGAAATCACCGGGAGAGAGGAGGGAGAGTGACAGAGAGTCTGAAAAGAGTGTGATGGAACACGATGAAGCTAACAGATTAGCCTTTTGCTAAATCTGCTGATCAATGCCGACATGCGCAGACGTGTGAGCTGAGTAACATGTTGCTCTTGCTGCGAGTTAGCACAGAGTAGTGATGTCAATAAAGACGAGAGCGAGACCCAGTGGTGGTTCTAGACCAGTTTTACTGAGGGGGCCAAACTGGGGCCAGTTGTTCTGTCAGAGGGGAACATTAAACCAGGAGAAACATAGATGATCAATAATCAAAAAAGATGATCGCTTTAAAAAATATATAAATATTTTATGCCAAATAACAGCGCACATCTTTAAATACCATGATTTATATTTGTTTCAGTAACAGAATTTAATACTAGATTGTTGAGTCAAATACTGTGTATGTGTTATGGGCCACAGGGGGGGCCAAGCTCAGTGTTACAGATGGACTGGCCCCTGTTGGCCCCTGTTGGCCCCTGTTGGCCAAAAAGGGGGGGTCAGGTTTTTATCACCTGCTCCTGGTCTCGTGTTGATGCAGCTCGACGGGAGGCGTTGGTTTTATTCAGCGTTGTTATCTTCGACGCCTTAATCGCTGCGTGACATAAATCGTGAACTCTGACAGACGACGTCTGGATCTCTTCTGGTTTTCTGCTCCAGTCAGCAGACTCTTCATCTCACGAAAGCAATCCAAACATGCAGCTCAGATTGATGAAGCAGACAGAAACAGATCCTTGTTGTTGTTGGATGATTTTAGAACATCATTCGAGGTCGTGATCGTAGCTTCAGGTCACACAGAAGTGTGTTTTATAGATCCGCTCTGCCTGCAGATCATCTTTATTTATGATCGCTGTGTGGAGCTCGTTAAATTAATCTAACCACAGATAACTCCTCGGAGATCAATCTTCCCAAACACTAAGAGGGGGAAATAAAAATGTGTCGCCGGGCAGACTTCTGGTTTCTCGTTGGGGCGGCTGGAACCGATCCCAGCTGTCGTTGGGCGAGAGGCGGGGTTACACCCTGGACTGATCACCTGTCAATCACAGGGCTAGCAGCAGAGGATGATGCTAGATGAAAGTGAAAACCTCAGAGTCAGGATAAATGTGTCTCTTTGTGTTTACGTCTCTGAAAGCTGAACAAACCTGATGTTTGTCTCTGAGTTCAGCTCCACATGAACAAACATCATCAATCCTCCTCCGCTGACAGCAGCGAGAGGTTCCTCATGAAAACACTCCAAGATTCAATCACACATGTGGATCATTTTCCACATCAGGAGAGAAATTTCACTCTGAATGTGCAAACATGAACTCCATGATTCAACGGTTTGCGTAAAGGCTTTATATGTGATTTTTTGATCCAGCAGATGTCGCCCTTGAGCACCAGCATGAAACCAAAACAACTCGCGCTGCATTGTTGTGTCAGCATGCTAATGCTAGCGATCTTTACTATGCTGGTATCTTCACACTGCATGTAAATTTACCTGAAATGAGCGTGATCTAGAAACACAGTTAAGCAGTGAGTACAGTATGTTATTCTTCTTTTCTCTAGTCCCTCAATTAAACAACTTTTATACACGAGGGGAGGAGTCAGCCGGCCGTCCTGGCGATGTAAACAAAGTGAAGATAGGACTCTGAAAACTCTGAAAACATCACAGACAGTGGGACTCGGGTGTTACACCCATTGTAGACAGTCATGACTCACAGAGTTATTTTCAGAGGAGATATTTGATTTATATTTAAGTGTGAAAAATCACAGAAAGACTTTAAATAAGCGCGCCCACACACACACAGACACACACACACAGACACACACACAGACACACACACACACACACACACACACACACACACAGAGACACACACACACAGACACACACACACACACACAGACACACACACACACACACACACACAGAGACACACACACAGACACACACACACACACACAGACACACACACACACACACACACACACACACACACACACACACACACAGACACACACAGACACACACACACACACACACACACACACACACACACACACACACACACACACAGACACACACACACAGACACACACACACACACACACACACACACACACACACACACCTCCTTCACGTTTGTATTCTTGTATGTTAAACTATAAGATGTCTAAATGTGTCAGGATGATATTTGATAACATTAAGAAATAAAAGATAAAAGTCCTAGAAACAAAAACTCTCAGGACCGGGAAAGGTGTGGTGATGCGTTCAAAGACACTCAGGTGATGTAGGACATTCTCAGCTCTTGACTCTGATGTTTTTTGCTCTGCAGGGTATATCAGGACAGCCTGGAGGCCCGGGTGCAGGAGGACGCCGTGGAGCAAACGGACAGAAGGTGTGTGACATCACTTCCTCTCTAATCGATGACGGCTGCAAACTGACCACGAGTTCAACACGATGACAGAAAGACTTTTTTTCGACCCTTCATAAAAACACTTTATTGAACCGGTGTTGTGCTGAGAACTGCATGCTGTCAACGATGGCTTCACCTCACCAGATAGTTTTAAAATGATGTCACTACGGTTTATATTCTGTGATGAGAAACTTTAAAGATGGAGCCTGTGGCATTGTTTCTATCAGTTTGTAAACATTCAAACTGGCCCCTCCTCCTCCAGAAGCCCCGCCCCCTGCAGGACGTAGTGTGTACGTTTACTGCTTGTAGCTACACTGCAAGCTAACACACACTAGCACAAGCTATCCGCCGGTGTTCATCACCTTCCTGTCCAACAGGAAGTAGACCAACTCCACGTCCAACACAAGGTTCACCCTCGTTTTAGAACGATCTTTATCCACTTGGTGATTCTCCTCACTCTCATTATATTTTCTCTTCTTTGCTGCTACGTCCACGTCCGTCATATTCACCGCTTTGAATTTCGTCCAATCACTGAATTGTATCCACTCCTAAACTCACCTGCTGCGCTGTCATTGGCTGGAGGAAACACACCAGCTCCGCCCACAAACGTCCCGAGTCAACCAGAACAAAGCAGAACAGTAAAATCCAGTCAGAGGACAGAGTCTCTGCAGACACAGTCACCACCACACATGTACGGAGGCCCAGAAGGGACAATGGAGCAGCTTCACTTTAGGAGAAGTCTGTATTTTATTTTGAAGGAGAAGTCTGTATTTTATTTTGAAGGAGAAAGCTGCTGACTCTGTCTTTAATAAATGTTAAATGTCCTTTATGTTCTATGAACCGGCTCTCTGGAGAAATATTTTCTTACATACAAACTTTTTGACAATCCTTTTGTTTCCGTCATCGTTGAAGTTATTAAACTAAAACCGGAGAGATAAATATCGTTCTGTTTCTTTTTTCTTCTTTTCAGGAAAACTAAACCGACCTGTGATTTTTGTTTCAGGGCCAACCGGGAGATCCAGGTGAGAAAGGAGTTCCAGGATCACAGGGACCGCGAGGGATGCCGGTAAGGAGCTGTGTGTGTGTGTGTGTGTGTGTGTGTGTGTGTGTGTGTGTGTGTGTGTGTGTGTGTATCTGTGTGTAACTTTGTGTGTGGTGTGTGTGTGTGTGTGTGTGTGTGAGTGTGTAACTTGTGTGTGTATGTGTATGTGTATGTGTATGTGTGTGTGTGTGTGTGTGTGTGTGTGTGAGTGTGTGTGTGTATCTGTGTGTAACTTTGTGTGTGTGTGTGTGTGTTTCAGGGTCAGGACGGTAAAGACGGTTATGGACCTGCAGGAACCAAAGGTGCAAAGGTACAGAAGCTTTTAAAAAAAGAGATTTTAAAAACATTTGAAACCTTTTTATACTTTAATGAATAAATAACAACCTTCTTGTTCCCGTGGTTACAGGGAGATCCTGGTTTCCCTGGTTACCCCGGGTTAACGGTGAGTGCAGCTGACTGAACGTGGGAACAGGACCAGTTTAGACTAAAGAACCAGCTCAGATAAACCTCTGTGGAGCTGCAGGAACGTTTGATATGAGTTTATTCAGTTCAGGCAGAGAAACCCCGGAGCATGACGAGCACCTCGTGGACAGAGCGTGTAGTCCATGTCGCGGCGACCTTCTCAGAAACGAGAGCCTTCCTGATACAACATATTTCATTTTTGATTTTATTTAAAACATTCCCAGAGTGAGGGATTCAGGGGAACAGCTGAGAACTTCCAGGGCAAGGATAATATTTAGACAGAGACGTGATGACTCTGAGCCAAAATATGAGAAAAATGAAACAAAGAGCTGTGAGGAACATCTTGATAAGTTTGTTCTGTGTTCAGGGTGAAGACGGTCTGAAGGGGTCTAATGGATATCCAGGACGTAAAGGGAACCTAGGCCGAGGCGTGAGTGTTCACTTTTATTTGACCTCCATGTCACAGAGGTCGTGTTTCCTCTCTGACCTTTATCTCTGTTCTGGTTGATTTCAGGGGAACTCGGGGCGGCCAGGAGAATCAGGCATTCCTGGAGAACTGGGACACCCAGGACACCCGGTGAGTATCATCAGCACCAGCTGTGCCTGGACGCTCCTCAGAGTCCCTCTGCACCTTTAAGAAAAAGCTAAAGACCCAGCTCTTTATGAATACCTACTAACTTAATGATGATGGTCTCCATATTATTGATGATGATGATGGTAATGACGATGGTTTTTGTTTGATAACGACGACTTATAAGATGGTTTCTATACTGATTAGAGCTCTCAAGAACTGCCCTCAATGTTGTGCTTTGCTTCTGGTCACTTCCTGTCAGCACCTGTGTGTCCAATCAGACTCAAAGCTGATCGCTGTGACGCCATGGTTGCCGTCTTTCTGTTTCTATCTTTACGCTCAGTTTGATCATTTTCTGTGTTTTCATCCCACTGAGGTGACGTCGTTGAGTGCATGTGTGTGTGTGGGGGGGGTGGCATTAGAAGGAGGGGTTGGGTGGAGATGAAGCCAAGAGGAAATGTTACTTTTCAAATCTTGATTTCCAGATTCACCAGCCGTGCTTTTAAAGTTCATGATGTTTTTTTGTTTTCTGTCTCTGTAGGGTCTCAGAGGTCCTCCTGGAAACATGGGCACCGTAAGAACCGCCTTAAAAAAACTCACCTTTACCCGCTCACATGAAGTAACCAATCAAACCGTTTGTATATATGACGTCTGTTTGTTTTCCCTCAGGAGTGTCAGCTGATCACCTACATCAGAGACAACTGTGGTGAGTGTCAGAGGAGCATTTTTGTTTCTCACGTTCAATAAAAACGCTCTGACGTCGTTTCAATGATCCGCCGCTCGACCTCTAACATGTATTTTTCTCTTCTCTGCAGCATGCTCTTTTGGTACGTATCTCCATTTGAACAGTCAGAGCAGCGAGGTGAGTACAAAACAAAAAACATCACAAAGTCAGAAAAAGCTCATTACAGCCTCTTCAGGTTTATGTGGCGGCCATTTTCCTTGATGTTGGAGGGTTGGCAGTAACAGTCGTAGTCCACTTGTAGGCGGTATTTTGTCCCGTCCAAACGTGCTAAGTTCTCCAGAACATCTTTGCCCTCATAAAAAAAAACACAAACGCACCGTTACGGCTGTCATGAGCACGCCAAGTCAACAACAACAACAACAACAACAACTACAGGCGGCGACCTCATCACAGCCGACGAAGCAGCTCGCTCAGAGACAACAACGATTCCCCGTTCCTCTGCAATGACCTTTTTCATTTTCAAACTTTTCCAACCGGGCCTCGTCCAAAAACTGCCAACGTTGGGGGGCGGGGTTTGTGTGGTGGGAGTGTTGTGTGAAGAAGCGGTGACCTCCGTCGTCCAATCAGGGGTCTCTGCTCGTCAACATATCGGGAGAGTAACTGTGTGTGTGTGAGCGTGTAAAAAGTCCAGTTAGCATCGTTAGCACCAGCGCTAGTTTGGTGACATCTGCTTTGACGTGACGTCACACGGAGGAGAAACCGGCACACAGCGTTCTCCCCGTCTACACAGAAACACCTGAAACTGAGTTTCTGAACATCTTCACCGTGGAAGGAGTTTTACTGAAGGACAGTTTCCTTTTTGGTCATTAAAAAATGATCCAACATCGGGCGCCTGAGACGTCTGTTTCTGTAGCCGCGGTCTGAACTGGTGAAGACATCGTTTGATTTGAAGAATCCTTCACTTCTGTGCTCTCTGTCTTCATCTCTTCTTTGTTGGTTTCCAGGTCGTTCCGAGTGTCCGGCCCTCCCCACAGAGCTCGTGTTCGGTCTGGACATGTCTGAGGACGTGACCCCGGCAGCCTTCGAGCGTCAGCGCACCGCCCTCCTCTCGCTGCTGGATGACATCTCCATCGCCGAGAGCAACTGTCCGACCGGCGCCCGCGTGGCCGTGGTCGGATACAGCGCCCACACCAAGTACCTGATCCGCTTCCATGACTACCGCCGCAAATCGCAGCTGATCGAGGCGGTGAAGAACATCGCCCTGGAGAGGACGGTCAACCGCCGCCAGCTGGGCGGCGTCATGCGCTTTGTGGGTCAGCACGTCTTCAAACGTGTCCGAGCAGGATTGATGATGAGGAAGGTGGCCGTCTTCTTCTCCGCAGGACCTACGCAGGACACCAACGACGTCGTGACCGCCATGATGGAGTACCGCGGCTTCAAAATTGTCCCAGCTGTCATCGCTCTGAGGAACGCTCCTGCGATCAGTCGGGCGATGGAGGTGGGTTCTCATTCTTCTTCATACAAACTGAACCGCGTTAGAGCTAAAGTTGTAAAGTCGAAGAGACAGAAGGAGTTGTTTCCTGTCTCGCGGTGTTCAGCCTGTGTCCACTAGAGGCTGGCTGCAGTGAATCCAAACACACCTCTCCAGGCCTAAACACAGAGAACAGATTATCATTCATTTTCTGCACTACAAACAGTCTCGGTGGTTGTTTATTCAGTGTGTGGGACGGTCGCTTCACCCGCCAAGAAGGAGGCTTTTCCGTTTGTCTCCACACTGTGTGACTTCACTCCCTCGGCTCTCCGTCTCCCTTCTGGTTTAAGATTACATCCTCCCACTACTGACAGGAATTTGTCTTGATTTTAGAGAAACTGGAAAATGAAGCGAAAGCTCTCAGCAGAGTCGGCTGAGCTGTGACTAACGCCTGTTTCTCCTCAGGTCGATGACTCCAGAAACGCCATCTTCACGTGATGGGGAGGGACATGGCCGCTGACCTCAGGAAGGTCAAGAACTGTGCGATCTGTTACGGTAGGCTGTCATACTGTCAGGACTTCTACTTTAGCCGGATGTTCTGAATGTTGGGATGAGAAAGTCGTATCGTTTTTGGATGTATTGACTCAAATTAATACAACAAAATGAAGAAACTAAATGTACGGATATTTATGTCATTTTTAACACATGCTAGTTTGTACAAAAATAAAAATTCTGGTTTTGTTTTTTAAGATTTATTTTTGGGGCTTTTAATGTAGAGATAGGACAGTTGACAGTCTGAAATCAGGGAGAGAGAGAGAGAGTGGAATGACATGCAGGAAAGGAGCCTCAGGCCAGACTCGAACCTGGGCCGCCCGCGTTGAGGACCATAGCCTCCATACATGGGGCGCGCGCACTAACCACTGCAGCGCCCCAACAACAATTCTGGTTTTAAATGTTCTTTCCTTTAACCAAACACACGAGTTTAGGACAGTTCAACAGTTTGTTTATGTGCTGCAACGTCAGCAACTATCGTCCGAATGCTAAGCTAACTACTAAGCTACCTACATCTTATACATAACAGTATATTGGAGCTAAGAGTTAGCATGTTTGAGGCTAACTACATCAGTCTGTGTGGTGAAACCTTCTGTGTTGAATGTCAGTTCAGAACACGTTCCTGTTGTTTCCTCAGACCCGTGCAAGCGTTCAAGCGAGTGCTCCTTCATCCAGGAGGAGGTGCAGCCTCTGGAGGCCGACATGGACCTGGTGCTGGTGCTGGACGGCTCCCGGGAGGTGCAGGCTGACGAGTACAGCGGCGCCCAGCAGCTGCTGGCGTCTGTGGTGGAGCAGCTGGCCGTGAGCCCTGAGCCCAGCAGGGCCGGGAGCCAGGCCCGGGTGGCGTTAGTCCAGGTGGGGAGCACCCGGGCTATGATGCAGGAGTTTGGCCTGCAGACCTACCAGAACCAGCAGCTGATGAGGACACACCTGATACAGCGGTTGCAGCAGCAGGGCGGCTCCTCGGCGCTCGGACTCACGCTGGAGTTTGCCCTGAGGGAGGTGCTCCTGAAGGCCACGCACGCCCGGAGGAAGAAGGTGCTGCTGACCGTGTTGGGCACCAAGACGGCCAACGAGGACAGGGTCTTGCTGCAGTACATCTCCCAGAAGGCCAAGTGTGAGGGGGTGGCGCTGTTCGTGGTGACGGTGGGCGAGCGCTACAGCCGGACGCAGGTGGAGCAGCTGTGCGCTCTGCCCGTGCATCAGCACCTGATCCACGTCAGCAGAATGAACGCCGAGGAGCAGGGCTTCACCCAACGCTTCCTCAGGGTCTTCATCTCCACCCTCAACAGTAAGAACCACACACACACACACACACACACACACACACACACACACACACACACACACACACACACACACACACACACACACACACGCACTTGTCCTCATGAATGTGTGTGCTGTGTTCTTGTTTCAGAGGGAATCAACACGTATCCTCCTCCCACTCTGAAACGAACGTGTGACCAGCTGAGAGAACAAGATGGAGGACAGAATTTTAACGGGTAAATCACACAGCCTGCAGAATGACGTGGTACCACGAAAACACTCTTATAGTTTGTGCAGAGGCGCTGATTGTCAACAGGCAAGGCGGGCAACTGCTTGGGGCCCCAGGAGAGTAATGGGCCCTTCGGGGCTGACTAACTTTAAAGGTCACATATCCTCCTCCTCCTCTTCAGTGTAAATAAGTCTCAGAGATCCTCAAAACATGTGTGTGAAGTTTCTTGTTCTAAATCCACTCTGATCCTGTATTTGATCATGTCTATAAACCCCTCTATTTCAGCCCTGCTCAGAACAGGCTGTTTCTGTGTCTGTACCTTTAAATATGTAAATGAGCTGTGTCTGACCACGCCCCCTCTCTGGAAGGGCTTGGGTGTACTCGTGCTTTCTCGCTCCATGTCCTATTGTTTACGGTGAGAAGGCAGACTCAGAGGGCAGAACAAACACCTAGCTGTGGGAGTGTCACCCACCTGGGGGAGGGGCTACTGCCCTTTGTGATGTCATGAAGGGAAAATCTCCAAACGGCCTGTTTGAGCACACATTTTCTGAAAAGTGGAGCAGGCAGAAGACTGAGAGGATGGACTTTTCTCATCATTGGGGGGTTTGTAGACAGACTAGAAACACATATTAGAGAAACATGGGGAAGTGGATTTTGCATCATGTGACCTTTAATCCACAACAGCGGCTCAAAATGTGTAACATTTGAAATGACAGTAGGAAACCTCCTTAAGGGGTCCCCAAATGATGAATCACTTCTGCTGACAAAGTTTCTTCTTTCATTTCCAGTCAGGCGGGGTTCACAGAGATTGAGGACGTGAGGGAGGAGGAGGAGGAGAGGTTTCAAGAGCACACAGGAGGAAGGACTCAGCAGACCGGCCAGCTGGACATCATCGAGACCCTGACCCGAGGCGACAGACAGACAGTAGTGTCTGGAGCTAATGTCAACGGTAGACCACACACACACTCACACACTCACACGGACGTTATCTCGATCAGGTCAACTCATAAAACTCAAACGTTCAGCGTTAAAACAAACACTTAGGACTGTTAAATCAGTAAAGCACAAATCAATGCTGCTCAGAAATCTCCTCCAAATACTGCAGGCTGCAACATCTCTTGCCCCGCTTCTGCCCCCTAGAGGCTGGAGGCTGGAGCTGAAGAAATATGAAGTTTCAGGTGAAACTAAGGAACTAAACTAAAGAACCCCTAATGTACGGACGAACATTAATACCTTTTATTTTGTTGTTTTTTATTGAAAAAAAGTCAATGTCAGTTATTTTCTCGAGATCTGGACTCACTAACTCAATATGTTTCGATAGCAATGATTGTTTTCCCGTGATGAAGATGAGACAATGTCTACAATTGACTAATTTTCGTAGGAAAACGAGCGCCGTTATACATCAGAGTTGAGATCTCAAGAAAACAACCCAAATGGACTCGTAATCACGTAGCGGTAAGGTCCAGACTGATGTGGGTTGTTTGTTTCAATCCAATATCGATATAACGGCCGATATTTATTCAACTTGAAAGTATCTGCGTATGTAAGTTTGTTGTAATCCATATAGCGCCCTCTGCTGGTGACAAGAGAACTGTTAGTGTAAAACAATGAAACTCAAATTAAATGCTATTTGATTGGTGAATAAATCGAGTAATATCAGCGCATATCTGAAATAAAATGAGACGATACAGATAGTTACTGGATATGCTAAAATCGGCCGATATTATCGGCTGGCTGATAAATCGGTCGAGCTCTAGTATAGTAGCATTTCCTCTTATGGCGTCCGTTTAAATAGCCAACTCCCCGTGCTCACAAGAAAGTATCACATGAGTTCTAGATAGTCTCCGGTGGAGTTTGACGTGGGCCACAAAATACATTTCTTGTGAGATTGCAAAACTTGGGCACTCTTAACCTGCTCAAAAGCATGCAAACAGAAAACGCTCTTTTCAGTCCAGGTTTGTTTCTGTTGTTTTAATCTTTCAGTGCATGTCCCTTTAGGGGCTCCGTATGTTTAAGTAAAGCTTCTTCTCTGAGTGACACCCTGAGTGCACGCTTCATATTTCAGTCTGTTGATTGCATCTCTTTAGTATTTCATTTGCCTCCTTTGTTTTGTTTGAATAACTCTGTTCGTTGTTTTAACCTGAACCCAGTTTGTGTGGAATGATTCTAACGTCTCAGACTGCATGTTGTTCTCCGGCAGCAGCGGCTCTTCACATTCACAGATCGATCGTACAGTAAGATACTCAGATCATATTAAAGGGGACATATTATGATAAATCCTCTTCTTCAGTGTTTTTGAACATATATCTGTGTAACCTGAGAGTCTACTGACCCACAACACGTGAAATAAACCCATCCAGTCCTTTGTTTGTGGTCTGCATAAGTCTTACAACACAGAGAAGCTCTGTTTCAAATGTGCTCTCCTTGTGATGTCACAGTGGGATTCCCTGGTATCTCCACCCATGGACTCCACTCTTAGCCTAGAGCAAAACTTTAACGCAGGTCGGCCATTTTTATTCTCTCTACAGAGGACTGATGTCTACGGGGAAAACTCAGGGGTGGCCGTGTTTCTGGTTCGATTCCCATTAAAAAAATGTGCAGAGCCGCCGCCCCCGGAGGTGTGTTAGCTGTGACAGTGTGTAGTAAACGTGTGTGTGTTCTGCTTTCAGCCCAATGTCTGCTGCGGGCTGATACTGGTATCCAGTGTGAAGACTATGTCCAAGTGTGGTTCTTTGACAAAGACATCGGTGCATGCTCGCCATTCTGGTTCGGCGGTTGCGGCGGCAACGCCAACCGCTTTAAAACGGAAAATGAATGTTTCCTGACGTGTGGCATCCATAGTAAGTCCTGAATGTGCACCAGACCACGACATGAGAGCGGCTGTGTGTGGACTGCTAACTGTGTTCGTCGTGTTCCCGTGGGTGTGTAAGACGCTGCACTCTGTTGTGATGTCGTCATGGTAACTCGCTCTGTCCTCTCTCACAGATCCAGACTTCCTGCCCAAACCAGAGCTGGTCAACTTCGCCTCCAAAGGTAAAGAAAAAAAAACACTAATCACATTCATACACATTTGAACGCCACAGACAAAGCAGCGGGCGATGCTCGGGGGACAAGCGTCTCGCCAAAGGACACGTCGGACATCGGCTACGACTCTAATCTCTCTCTCTCTCTCTACCCAGACGCCTGTTTCCAGCCTCAGAACCAGGGCGACTGTCAGAACTACACCATGGTGTGGTTCTTTGACACCGAGCAGAACGAGTGCTCGCGCTTCTGGTACGGAGGCTGCGGCGGCAACGGGAACCGCTTCAAGACTCAGGAGGCGTGCGAGAGCCTGTGTCTGCTGAAGAGCCGGTGAAGAGGAGGGGCGAGCGAGCAGGAGCGAGGAGGAGGAGAAAAACACCGCTGTACACCCGACACACCACAACAGAGCCTTAGAATAAAACACATGCATGTTCAAGAACCAAACTTTATCGACAGCTCAGTGATGACGGACGCCTTCAGGGAAAACGTTTGACTCTCTTCACCAAACACGTAAACAGAAACATGTTGAACTCTGACGCTGTCACAATTCTTTACTCCACATCGGGTGCTACTTTCATGAAGTGTGTGTGGGGGGGGGGTGGGGGGGGGGTTGTTTATGAATGTTTTTATTTAGACTCGACATGAATGTTTGAAGGAATGGCATTAAAGTGTGTTTCTGTAAAACAACTTGTTTTTACATAACTGAAGAGAAAAGATCGATCGGACTTGTTATGAGTGTCGGTGCAGCGAGCTAAATGTACTTGTTATGTAAGACATCGCATCTCGTTTGAAGACACTTGAAGCTCCCGTCTTCTCCTCAAGTCGTCAGTCTGTCAAACCTAGTAGAAAAACCTCCTCGTTTATCTGATCTCATTTCACTGTCTGTCTCTTTAAGGCCCGCCTCCCCTTGCACATATCAATTGGGGGGGGAGGCTCCAACCAACGTTCAGCAGGGCAATGAAAATGAGTGCTGACAAATGTGGGCCCCCCTTAGGGAGGTTTCCTACTGTCATTGCAAAATTTTGCACATTATGGGTCGCTTCTTTGGTTAAAATTTTGTCAGACCCCTGGGACCCCCCCCCCCCCCCCCCCCCCCACTGGTCTGGGGATTTTTCTTACTGAAAATAAAACTTCTGCAATCTGTCTAAATTGCACAAAAACATTGGTAACATCTTAGATTTGGATTCCTTCCTCTCCCGTGCATCTGTCTCATGAAACGGACATTTTCAACGACCATAGCTGTAGCGTCCAGAGAGAGAACTCTCAACTCTAAAAATGAACACAAATGGTTCACAGACTTCTCACATCAGGTCGGTGGGAGCTGCGTTTAAAGATGATTCTTCTTCGACTCTTTGAAGGTCACTTAAAGATCTAACCGCCTCGAGATATCAGAGAGGAACGCTGTACACCCTGGTCTTTAGGTGGAGCTCCAGGACTGCAGCTGTTCAGTCTAAAGGCGTCCTCTCATCTGTTTAAAGTGAAGAACTAAACTGTGAAGTGAAGACCTTTAACTGTTTAAATGATCAAACTGACCCTGGAGCTGCAGCAGGTTAGTGTTTAGTCTGTTCAGTGTCTGATTAATCCCACAAACATAAACCCACGGGGACGAGGCTGCAGCACGACTCCAGCATCAGTTTGAGCCTTAAAAGGTCACAGCTGTGTCTGTGTGAGTTTTCATGCTGTGTCCCCATCCATCCGTCCGTCTGTCTTCAAGTCATAAAAAATCAACATATGCTTTATTAAACCGACTAATGGTGCTTCATGTAAAAAAACAATAATAAAGAATTTCAGAAAAGCTGCGACTTCCTGCTGCACAGTTTGTTTGTTACATGATGTTTTATGATGTGTGGGATTCAAACAGCTGCTTCTGTGTTTATAAATCTAAAAGATTGAATGAAGGTCGAGGAAGACGATAAGCCCGCACACATGCTCACAACCACAGGTTCTTCTTCAGGTGATCATTTTTTAACAGAGGAGGGCGTCAACACAGAAACACAGAAACACAGAAACACAGAAACACCTTCAGCAGAGTTTCTGTCATCAGCATCTTCAACCAGGAAGGAGTTTTACTAGAAGTGGGTTTTCAGTGACCTTAAACGCAGTCTGTGTACGAAAGCTGGACGAGGCCTCAGTAAATACAGTTTATCTGTGTTGTCTGTACAAAGTAAATTTTCTAGAACATTCCTGTTTAAAAAAACTCCCTTTTGCACTATTTAAGACGAGAGAAAATATGGAGTCAGGCTGTGCAACATGTCGCATTGAAGGCAGCGAGCAGCGTTGAACTGCTAGTCTAACAACAATGATTTTAAACGTATTTTAAATATGTAAAATAAATCATTTTTTTGGTCCAATGAATCAGTGGTGTTTCAGAAACATCTAAATGACTTCAGGGACGATTTTCACCGATTGCGTCAGAGAGTCTGATTCACTATGAATGGATTGCAGACGCTAATATCTCTGTAAATCGTTCATCATGTTCTCCGTCTGAAGGTTGAGGCCTCTGACTCCTAATGAGCAACATGTCAGCGTCCATCAGGTTGGTATTTGGCTTCACTTTTGTATACTCAGAGCAGGCAGAGACGTGTCGTCCATCTTCTTATTCTGTTAAACAGTATCTTGTGTTATTAGGAAAGGGACAGGTATTATAAGTTTTCTTCTTCCTGCTCCTGTTTGCTCATGAACAGTGTTTCAGTGTTATGAGAAAATGTTTTTTGTTGTGTATTATTGTGTTGAAACCAAACACTGAAATGAGCAAATAAATCAAATATGAAATGAAATGCACAGTCAATGTTACAAACCGTATCGTAAACTTCACACTTTGGAGAAAACGTCCTCCGAGCTGCACGTACAGAGAGCACATGGTGACGTGGAGCTCTTGCCTATCTTTGTCTTTTGATGTTGACTCACCTCCCAGAATGTTTTCACTGATGGATCAGTCACACATCAGAGCACAGGGGAGTTTGTGCTGCAGGTTTTTATTGGACAGATGGACACACATGGAATCACAGGTCACATGGTTCATCTGCAGAAACTCAACAGATCATAACTTTATATTAATCAGATTTAAGTAACGTATGTACAGAGAGAAAGAGGGACTCAGCTGATAACAAACACAAACGAAGGGGACGGGTGAAATGATGTCACAGGATTTAAATCGTCTCGTTTGGAGTCTCAGACGCTCAAAGTTCAAATACATGATGAGTGAATATCCATCCAGTATCTAGGGGGGGGGGGACTCAGAGGTCATTATGTGAGAGGCGAGGTTACACCCTGGACTGAACTGTTCACCTGTCAATCACAGGGCTGACATGTAGATACAGACCCTTGAACCACCGTGCCGACTAAGACGAGGACTGAAAATGTATTTTTTATTTTTAATTAAAGTATGTTGGAGAACTACGAGTTAATCCATCATGAAACTTTTCAAAGACTAAATATTTCTTATAACTAAAGTTCCAGCTCTGACTACGATGATTAAGAATATTGACAAAGTGTGAAAAGTCTGTTTTACCTCATCAGATGTGTCTCTCAAGACGTCGACTAAAGAGTAACAACTCCTCAGATATAAGACAGAAATATGCTGAAGCATTCACTCCTTCAATAAGTCATCATGAGTCATGAAGAGAGACCGTCCATCTGTTTGAAGACTCACTGTGATGACAGAGAACAGTGAACTCTCTCTCCCCTCTCTCTCTCTCTCGCCCTCTCTCATAACTCTCTCTCTCTCGCTCTCTCATAACTCTCTCGCTCTCTCATAACTCTCTCTGTCCCTCTCTCATAACTCTCTCTCTCATAACTCTCTCTGTCCCTCTCTCTCTCGCCCTCTCTCATAACTCTCTCCCCCCTCTCTCCCTCTCTCTTAAGTCTCTCTCTCTCCCTCTCATAACTCTCTCTCTCTCTCCCTCTCTCATAACTCTCTCTCTCTCTCTCCCTCTCTCATAACTCTCTCCCCCCTCTCTCTCCCTCTCTCTTAACTCTCTCTCTCTCTCTCTCTCATAACTATCCCCCTCTCTCTCCCCCCCTCTCTCCCCCCTCTCTCTCCCTCATAACTATCCCCCTCTCTCTCTCTCCCTCCCTCTCTCACTATTCTCCCCCTCTCTCTCTCTCTCTCTCAGTAGATTTCACTGACACTCACAGATTTGTGAACACCAATCAGATTTCAGATGTTCAACAAAACGCTTTGTGAACTTTCACATCAGCGCAGAATGAAGTTTATCAAATGTTTAAAAATACAGACGTTCTCTCTAAGTGCACAAACAGAGCAATGTGAGGCGGGGGGGCTGAAGAGAGCGCCATGTGACCATCCAGCAGGAGGACGACGTCTTCTACCGTTAAAACTGAAAAGTGACATCTCTTCTGAATAAACAGATCAATGTGTCCCGCCTCTCACAGATTGACCTTCATGACTTCCTGTGTCAGAGCGGGTGAGAGAGAGCGCTCTTCATCAAGTCCAAAGACATGAAAAAGTTTGTGCGTCCGATGCCGCTCGCCGCTCACTTCCACACCTTGACGATGCCGTCTCTGGACGAGGTGACGATGAAGCCCTGCGTCGTCTGGAAGGTGGCGATGTCCGTGATGATGTCGTGGTGTCCCACAGGGAGCGATTCTGGGCCGCGGCGGGGCGAGTCCTCCACCACGCCGCTCTTCTGTTTGCTGTGAATCTCCTGCAGAGACATCGACCCCGTGTTTGACCTCACACACACACACACACACGATCGCAGAGAGGCATGATGGGAAATAAAAGACGTTTTTGTGTGCTCACCTGCACGACCTCCGTCCCCTCGATGATCTTCCGGCTGTACAGGACAGACGGGCAGTGCAGCGAGTCGTTGGCGCCGCCCGCCACGATGTACGACCGCTCGGGATACGCCAAATCCCAGAACCTGAAAAACAAACTTTAACCATCAGAACTTCTGATTTTATTTTTATTTTATTTGTAAATTTTATTTTATAAAAAAAAAAACACAATAAAGTTAAGAAAAACAAACAAACATAAAATCTCAAATTTTGAATGAAAAGGAGCAGAAAGAAGATTAATCTTATAATATCTGCCCCTCTTTTACAAAACATTAATTAAAACATAACAGAACAATTTAAATTAAATTAAATTGGCTGCAGGCAAACACAGCCACTCACTGACAAAACAGTATCTCACTGACATATTTCCACATATTTATTCAACAAACTGGCTTTAATTTTTCTTTTAAATATCATGTTTGATTTTGAGTCTTTAGTTTCTCTGTTGAGATTCCTTTCACAGTAAAACAACGTTCCCTCAATTTGGTTCTGAGTCTCGGTTTATTAAAGATCTCTGTTCCTTTTAAATTGTAACGGCTTTCCTCATCATGATCATGTGAGAACACAAACAGCCTCCTCAGACATTGAGATTGCTCCCCCTCCTGTCTGAAAGAGGGAGTCTCCTGCTGTGACCTGGACGTGTGAACAGCCAGATCAGGAGGATTCCAGGATTAGCTCACATGTGTTTTTCTTTGAGTCTTTCAGGAGAATTTCTCCAGAATTTCTCTGTGCTGCACATGTGTTTGTGGTCAGAGTCTGAAGCTGGCACTTCCTGTATTCTTTTTGTTGTTAATGGTTTGAGTGATGATAAAGAGGGAGCAGCTGTAAAGTGTTTCTTTGTCTGCGTGTCACATGCACATTCTGATTTAAAGAAACAGGATGTCTGAGACACGCTCATGACTAAAAACATTCCAGATTTTTTATTTAACCTTTATTTATCCAGGAAAGTCCCATTGAGATTAAAAACCTCTTTTTCAAGGGAGTCCTGGCCAAGAGGCAGCAAAGGTTACACAGTCACACTCACAACATACAGACAGCAATTCAAATTATAAAAGAACAGTTACAAGTAAAGGAGGTCGTCTCAAGTGCTCTCAGCCTGGATTTAAAAGCATTCAAAGAAAATTTAAGATTTAAGAGTTAAGATCAGTTAGTTCACATGTTAGCGCCACCTACAGCTCAAACACACTGACACTAGAAGAGAGAGAAGGTTTATTAAGATCAGTTAGTTCACATGTTAGCGCCACCTACAGCTCAAACACACTGACACTAGAAGAGAGAGAAGGTTTATTAAGATCAGTTAGTTCACATGTTAGCGCCACCTACAGCTCAAACACACTGACACTAGAAGAGAGAGAAGGTTTATTAAGATCAGTTAGTTCACATGTTAGCGCCACCTACAGCTCAAACACACTGACACTAGAAGAGAGAGAAGGTTTATTAAAGTAAAGATTCTGAAATCTTCTCATCAGAGGTGAGATCATAAAATCTGATTTTAATGAAGATATGCTGCAGATTGTGTAGTGTTGGTTGTGTAGTGTTGTGTATATGTTGTGTAGTTATTGTGTATATGTTGTGTAGTGTTTGTTGTGTAGTGTTGTCTGGTGTTGTGTATTTGTTGTGTAGTGGTTATTGTGTATATGTTGTGTAGTGTTGTGTGTTTGTTGTGCAGTGTATGTTGTGTAGTGGTTATTGTGTATATGTTGTGTAGTGTTAGTTGTGTATATGTTGTGCAGTGTTTGTTGTGTAGTGGTTGTTGTGTAGAGGTTATTGTGTATATGTTGTGTAGTTATTGTGTATATGTTGTGCAGTGTTTGTTGTGTAGTGGTTGTTGTGTAGATGTTGTGTAGTGGTTATTGTGTATATGTTGTGCAGTGTTTGTTGTGTAGATGTTGTGTAGTGGTTATTGTGTATATGTTGTGTGGTGTTGTGTGTTTGTTGTGTAGTGGTTATTGTGTATATGTTGTGTGGTGTTGTGTGTTTGTTGTGTAGTGGTTATTGTGTATATGTTGTGTAGTTATTGTGTATATGTTGTGTGTTTGTTGTGTAGTGGTTATTGTGTATATGTTGTGTGGTGTTGTGTGTTTGTTGTGTAGTGGTTATTGCGTATATGTTGTGTAGTTATTGTGTATATGTTGTGTGTTTGTTGTGTAGTGGTTATTGTGTATATGTTGTGTTGTGTGTTTGTTGTGTAGTGGTTATTGTGTATATGTTGTGTAGTTATTGTGTATATGTTGTGTGTTTGTTGTGTAGTGGTTATTGTGTATATGTTGTGTGGTGTTGTGTGTTTGTTGTGTAGTGGTTATTGTGTATATGTTGTGTAGTTATTGTGTATATGTTGTGTGTTTGTTGTGTAGTGGTTATTGTGTATATGTTTGTGTTGTGTGTTTGTTGTGTAGTGGTTATTGTGTATATGTTGTGTAGTTATTGTGTATATGTTTGTGTGTTGGTTGTGTAGTGGTTATTGTGTATATGTTGTGTGGTGTTGTGTGTTTGTTGTGTAGTGGTTATTGTGTATATGTTGTGTAGTTATTGTGTATATGTTGTGTGTTTGTTGTGTAGTGGTTATTGTGTATATGTTGTGTAGTTATTGTGTATATGTTGTGTGTTTGTTGTGTAGTGGTTATTGTGTATATGTTGTGTTGTGTGTTTTTGTGTAGTGGTTATTGTGTATATGTTGTGTGGTGTTGTGTGTTTGTTGTGTAGTGGTTATTGTGTATATGTTGTGTGGTGTTGTGTGTTTGTTGTGTAGTGGTTATTGTGTATATGTTGTGTAGTTATTGTGTATATGTTGTGTGTTTGTTGTGTAGTGGTTATTGTGTATATGTTGTGTAGTTATTGTGTATATGTTGTGTGTTTGTTGTGTAGTGGTTATTGTGTATATGTTGTGTTGTGTGTTTGTTGTGTAGTGGTTATTGTGTATATGTTGTGTTGTGTGTTTGTTGTGTAGTGGTTATTGTGTATATGTTGTGTAGTTATTGTGTATATGTTGTGTGTTTGTTGTGTAGTGGTTATTGTGTATATGTTGTGTGGTGTTGTGTGTTTGTTGTGTAGTGGTTATTGTGTATATGTTGTGTAGTTATTGTGTATATGTTGTGTGTTTGTTGTGTAGTGGTTATTGTGTATATGTTGTGTGGTGTTGTGTGTTTGTTGTGTAGTGGTTATTGCGTATATGTTGTGTAGTTATTGTGTATATGTTGTGTGTTTGTTGTGTAGTGGTTATTGTGTATATGTTGTGTTGTGTGTTTGTTGTGTAGTGGTTATTGTGTATATGTTGTGTAGTTATTGTGTATATGTTGTGTGTTTGTTGTGTAGTGGTTATTGTGTATATGTTGTGTGGTGTTGTGTGTTTGTTGTGTAGTGGTTATTGTGTATATGTTGTGTAGTTATTGTGTATATGTTGTGTGTTTGTTGTGTAGTGGTTATTGTGTATATGTTGTGTTGTGTGTTTGTTGTGTAGTGGTTATTGTGTATATGTTGTGTAGTTATTGTGTATATGTTGTGTGTTTGTTGTGTAGTGGTTATTGTGTATATGTTGTGTGGTGTTGTGTGTTTGTTGTGTAGTGGTTATTGTGTATATGTTGTGTAGTTATTGTGTATATGTTGTGTGTTTGTTGTGTAGTGGTTATTGTGTATATGTTGTGTAGTTATTGTGTATATGTTGTGTGTTTGTTGTGTAGTGGTTATTGTGTATATGTTGTGTTGTGTGTTTTTTGTGTAGTGGTTATTGTGTATATGTTGTGTGGTGTTGTGTGTTTGTTGTGTAGTGGTTATTGTGTATATGTTGTGTGGTGTTGTGTGTTTGTTGTGTAGTGGTTATTGTGTATATGTTGTGTAGTTATTGTGTATATGTTGTGTGTTTGTTGTGTAGTGGTTATTGTGTATATGTTGTGTAGTTATTGTGTATATGTTGTGTGTTTGTTGTGTAGTGGTTATTGTGTATATGTTGTGTTGTGTGTTTGTTGTGTAGTGGTTATTGTGTATATGTTGTGTTGTGTGTTTGTTGTGTAGTGGTTATTGTGTATATGTTGTGTAGTTATTGTGTATATGTTGTGTGTTTGTTGTGTAGTGGTTATTGTGTATATGTTGTGTGGTGTTGTGTGTTTGTTGTGTAGTGGTTATTGTGTATATGTTGTGTGTCTGTGGGTCAGACCTGATCCTCATGTCGGACCCTGCAGTGAGCAGCAGAGGGTTCCCGTCAGCAGGACTGCAGTAGATCCCGTGAACACTGTGAGGAGACGGCTGCAACACAAAGAACAGGTCACGTTGCATCATGGGTAATGTAGGCACTAAAAAGAAACACACACACAAACAAACACACATTTACCTGCATCTCAGAGAGGGGAGGAGCAGAACTCGCCCACAGAGTGAATTTACGATCCCCCGTCTCCATGTCCCACATCGACACCTCGTTATTCCCCTGGACAGCTACACACACACACACACACACACACACACACACACACACACACACACACACACACACACACACACACACATTAAACAACATTTAAAACATGAATTAAAAGACAACATGAAGTTGTTTCTGTTTGAATCGTCTCACCGGCGATCACAGACGATTGGTAGAGCGGATGCATCAGCAGCCGTCTGATTCGTGCTCGGGCCGGGTGGGAATGGTTTGAGATGGGGAGCTGGAACCGCATGTCCCAGCATGCCATGGTGCCACTGCTGGTTCCTGCAGACGAGGAAGAACGGAGAGAGAGGATTCATTAAAGGTTCACTACGGGAGCTGAGAGGGACAATCCTGGACCCTCATGATGACATCACACACCCAGGCAGAGCCAGCACTGGTGCACGTCGACGGTGAAGGACGTGATGAGTCCCAGGCGGAGGTCGTGGTGGAGCGTCCAGGCGTTGGTGTTGGAGCGAAGGTCCCAGCCGACCAGCGAGCCGTTCACGGTGGCATACGCCAACACGGGCTGAGCGCCCGAGTTAAAATGGTGGATGTCGACCGCGCAGCCATCCTGATGAAGGTCCAGAGACCTGAGAGAGGAGAGACGATGAGAGACGCCCTCCTTCAGGAAACACCTGTTACCTGTACATGATGTTTCTGTCACCTCGTCTGGGACGGCTGCACTTTGGGCGACTTCGGGGGTTTATTGGCCTCGACCGCCAGCAGCTGGATGGATCCGTTATCTGACGCCACCGCCAGATAGTGAGAGCCCTGACAGAAGGTCAACGTCTTCACGTGGCCGCCGATACGAGAGTAAGTCAGCACGGACCTGCAGGAGGACGGGGGGGGGGGGGGGGGGGGGGGGGGGAGGGGTCTGTTAGACAGTCTGTGTGACAGTCTGTGTGAGTGTGACTGAACACATGATGGTCTCTGTGTGTCACACCCACCTGGTGGTCGTGGTCTTTCCCTCCATCTTCTGACTGTCCCACACTTTGACCGTGCCGTCGTTGGACGCCGTGGCGAAGATGGAGTGTTCGTCTGACACTCTGATGCGGTTCACGGCGGCTTTGTGTTCGTGGAGGTGAGCGACCAGCAGACCTTTGGGATGCCAACCTGAAACACACGATCACAGAGCGGCAAGCGTCCATGAGACGGTTTCTGTGTGTGTGTGTGTGTGAGTGTGTGCGTGTGTGTGTATATGTATGTGTGTGTGTGTGTAGGTATGTGTGTCTGTGTGTGTGTGTGTGTGTGTGTGAGTATGTAGGTGTGTGTGTGTGTGTGTGTGTGTTACCTGGAGGGGGGGGTCTGCTCTCCCACTCGGCGCTCTCTAACATCTGTTTGGCCATGCGCTCGGCGCTGCACTGCTCTCTCTTCTGCTGCACCAGCTGCTGAAGCTCCGTCTTGCAGGTGTTGATGCGGCGCTGGTAGGCGGGGCCACTCGCCACCGACTGCAGCACGGGCAACGTCGGGGCCACGGCGCTCTTCCTGATCTGACTCGCAGGCCCGTCAACAGCCTGCAAACACAACAGCACCTCGTTTTACAAGCTGCTTAATAATCAGGTGTTTAAGATTCAAGTAAAATCATTTTCAGAGCGAATCATCTCGACGGTTTGATGGAAGAAGAGTCCGATCGGCCCTAACTCCGCCCACAAGCTGAAACACTGTAACCTCGCAGACGTTTAATGGTGTCAGGTGAGAGGTATGATTTGTCTTCTTTCTAGCCTATAAGAAGTGAGGGGGCTGTGTGTGGTGAAGGGCCCCCTCTCCATCCCCCCACTGGCCTGTACTCACACTGCTCCAGGACTAACCGGGCCTAAGCATGGTTACCTCTTAAACATAACGTTGTAACACAACACATGCATGGCTTTATGAGATCATGAAGAGTGTTATCAACGAGAGTCTTAATGACACAAAGGCTTTAAAAAAGGGTGCTGGTGGAGCAGTGGTTAGTGCGCGCGCCCCA